TACACTACGATAATACAAAGCGTAAAAAATCGTGGGGTAAGCCCGGCCATGCATCAAAATCGTTTACTAAACCAAATATCCATGGTTCAAAGCTTCTTCTCTGTATTTGGTGGGATCAACAGGGTGTAATTTATTATGAGCTGCTCCAACCGAATGAGACTATCACGGGAGATCGCTATCGACTTCAATTAATGCGAAGTCGAATCTTAAAAGAAGAACGGCCGCTATTCGAGCAGAGACACGACAAAGTGATTTTCCTACATGACAACGCTCGGCCTCATGTAGCAAAACCAGTGAAAACCTACCTGGAAACGCTTCAATGGGAAGTTCTACCCCACCCGCCGTATTCACCTGACATAGCCCCTTCTGATTTTCACCTATTCCGTTCGATGGCACATGGCCTAGCTGACCAGCGCTTTCATTCTTATGAAGAAGCTAAAAAATGGATCGATTCTTGGATAGCCTCAAAAGACATATCGTTTTTCCGAGCGGCATTCTTATACTGCCAGAAAGATGGAAGAAGGTGGTCGCTAGTGATGGGCAATGCTTTGAATGAAATATTTTTGTTCCTTATAATTTAAATAAAGCTTTTATTTTGTAAAAGAAACAGCGAGAACTTATTCAAGGACCTATATATTTATTACATTTTTTAGTTATGTTAGCATCAGTTAAGTACTCACTTATTTACTCCATATGGGAGATTTAAATTTCAGATACAAGTTCCAATTGCACGACAATAGGTTTATTATTGGAATAGCAGCTTTTGTTAACTTTTAATTTAACTGTTTAATATTGTCATTTATTTTTTAAATTGCAACATACACACATACCATGCACGAAAAATAAAAATGTTAATATCGCTAAAATTCGCTAAAATTAAACTTATTAACCATTTAATATTCAAATGAGCATAGAGATAAAGCTCCTCAGTCTCATATAATGTAGATTTGTACATGAGTTCATGTCAATGACTTTTCAAGAATAAAAGGTTTAACGTCTAGGTAGTGACAAGAGCCATTCCCTGAACCGTATCTGTGTAACCGACAACATACATGGTTCCTTGAACACATTGTATATCTTGCTTACAATTTCTAGTCGTCAAATTTCGTTTACAACAATGCCAAATATAGGGATGCCTTTCATCCCATTTCATTAAAAAGCTTTACATCGCTCTACAAGAATAACCGAAACGACCTTATCAAAGAGGGGGAGGGGGGGTTGACATTTCAAACACGATTCATCTGATACACGAGAATGTTATTTCTGACTCATACACAACTGCCTTTTACAGTTTTTGGTTAGCTTGGCTTAAGGCAAAGGTATAATATGGGTTAGTGAATGACATAATTTACTTGTTTTGTAAATCATATCTGCAGCCTGATATTAAAGAAACAGCTGTCGATAATATTGCAACACCATCGTTTCGAACTTTGTATAACAACCTCCAGCTATCTTTACCAGAAGAAATACAACTTTCTTAGTTTTTTTGTAAACGCGTAGATATTTAAATAATATTTCGTGTGTATAGAAGTGTGCTTAGAAAGCGTTGCCTTTTACGATTTCACATATAAAAAAAGGAAGTGTGACTGCACGGATGTCGCACAGAAACTTGTTTCGAATCTAGTAAATATAATTTTGTCGGAGTCTGGGGAGACTTCATGTTATATGTATATGTACGAGGACTAATTATTAAGGAAATCCAAGTGTTTTAAAAAAAGAAAGAACTGTTTGAACTTCTATAAATTTAATGTGTCGGAATTGTCTACCTGCTAGTGTAGTTAAGTATTTACTTACTTTAAGTTAAGTAGTTATAAAATTAATGTGGCATTGTGATTGGGGTATATTGATTCTGTACCAATACAAAAGATTATGATGAGGATACAAAATTGGTATTCTCTCCGATAATCTGTTGCGTAGAAGTGACCCATAAAGACCTGCTTCATATTGATTTTTTTTTTTTGCTCAGACACGACAGTATTTTTGTCACCAAGGGTATCCTAATAGTTTAAGCTGAACTTCATCTTTTAAATGACTATACGAGACTTCGTTTGAGTTTTTGAACAATAATAGCCTAATACGTAATGAAATGGCATGTTTGTAGTTCCAATAAATGGGACTTTCGTTTGTCTGGTTCTAAATGTGTCCTAATTACTTATACAGAGTTTAGAACCCTGCCGCAGATCACCTCTCCTGCGTGTTTGTACATTATCATCAATGAACAGGCAATGCTCGCATGCAATGAACCTGAATTAGCTCAGATTTGCTCCTGAGATTTTTGTAAAGCATTGTAATATTGTTAATCCGTGGAACATCGTAGAAGTAGTCTTCCGTTTCCGCCTCCTTAAAAACTCACTTTTTATGGTGGCTATACGTCCTAACTCTGATTCTGTAAATATTCCAATCATGTTCGGCTCCTTATTGCCTTGCCAGTGAACTACTTCAGTACATACATAGAGTAGAAACTGGAGAGAAAAAGTATGCGTAATATTTTAGACATTTTTTTGTAAGGGAATGCCTAGATGCTTTATTAAGCATTTCGTCGTTATAACAAGTTGGTCAATCTGTACAGTGTATCTAACGGGAGTACACTACAGATTGACACTGGAGACTTTGTACTGTCAAAAGAAGAATCTATTATTTATTTCGTTCTGACAGAGCATTTGCATGCTATAAATCCCCTTATTGGATTAATCCATTTTAGAAACCCCATTAGTGATAGGTACAGTATGAATCTATTAATACACTTCGAGGTTGATACTATCGGATGTACGTATTACCGCAAGTTTACGTTGTAGGTACACTTGCCTAAATATATCTACGTTGGGAATAGGCGCAGACGTCATATCGGTGGAAAACAGAAACCCATGAGAATAAGAGCAATTTTAGAATTTGCTCAGTGAGAAAATAATAAAATTCTTCCGACTTACGAAGTAGCCAGTCATAACAGTGATAGAAGTCTGTAAGGTTTTAGATGATAGATTCTATTTCACCTCAAACATATTAAAAATATCACCTGTATTGTAAATACAGTAGAAAATAGTATGACTTTAACGGAGTAAATTAAATGAGTCACACATTTAACTTAAACATCATTAACAGGCATTTCTAAATTTTTTTTTTACCAAAATCAAATATTATTCATCAAGATCAATTATGTTTTACAGATACATTTTATTCAAAAGATTACCAGGCTCGACAAAGACGAGATAGTAACGGATGCCGGGACCGGTTGTCGACCGTACAATCATCGATGGCTAATGTAATTTCCAAAGGACATAATTAAGTTGTTCTGTAATAATTATAAGGATGATTAGACTGCAATATTGAAAAGAATATAAATTAATTATAACGACAATACACATAGAAAGTCTTATCCTGTATTCCTGGTAGAAAACAAAACATTTTTATAGCAATAAGAGCTCACAATTGGCCATAGAACTTTCCTATAACACACACCGATTGAGCTCAAAGATTGTTTTAATCTATTATTCGCATCACTATAGTTCCTCATTTCTAATCAAATGAAACTGAAATGTGTGACAGCGAAGCGTGGCAGGGTACAGCTAGTATGTTATATAAATATTTTAATTACTAATGAGGCAGACCTTTTATTGCTCAAACTTTAGTCCTATGTTCATACCTAGATTCTCTCCAACTTAACAAATTTAAGAGGGTAGAAGCTCAAATAAACTTGATGAGACGAGCTTTTAACAGAAGTTGTGATAGACCACAATGAACTGAATAATTCAATTAAAAAAACTAGAGATATAAAAAATCATACTCCTTATAAATGTAAAAAAGAAAATAATGTTTAAATTTAACTTGGTGAAAAGAAAGGGATATTTTTAATGAAAAAAATATCAATATCTTTTCACCCTCCTCAAGTACTCTCAGATACTGCAAATCAAACACCTGAATTCTGCACAAAGACAAAATGCAATGTTAAATAAGACATATCATAAACATAATATTAGTGATACTAAGGTGTATTTAAAAGGACCTTTAAATTGCAAATTATAACATAATCTTAACATATAATATATGCATAAGCATTTAGGTGTTTCTTTCATTACACAAGCATTTTTTGATGAAGGGCACAGACAGGCCCTGTTAAGACATACATTATGTGGCCCAAATTAAACTACAGCGGAAGAAGTAAAAAACAGTCTGCAAATTGTTCTACCTTGGTTGCCAAAGAAAAAAATATCCTATAATTCAATTTCAACTATTTGGCCTAACCTACAAAATTTAAGATATTAAATTAAAAAACTAGGAAAACATTTACAGGAAATGTTTCTGAGTAGAGATATTCAATTATTGAGCATAATATCAAGTCTTCAAAGATTTTTAATTGAGAGCAGACACTAAAGAAGGTGTAAGTCAGTACTCTTAAACCTGAAGAAGCTCGACATCGGCGAGCGCCGGCCGGCTTAAATAGAAATTGAAGAAAAGAAGGTATGAACATACTATTAGGCAAAACAACATAAGATAATGAAAGCCTTAAAACCGTAGTGATAAGCTGTTAAGTGGCCATCTACTAAATAAACCTACTCCAAAGTAAAATGAAAAAAATATGTATAACGATCAATGACGAAAACTAAATCTCTATAGAACGAAATGAAAAGATTTCAACGGAAATAGGAGGGGCAACGTTTACTCCACAGAGTTCAATTGGAATTTCTTTATGAAAGAAAATAATTCTCGTAAGGATCTTCAAAACCGTAATATTCTTACTCTTTATTATATGCGTAAAATACAACACTTTTCGTATTTTTTAAGAATTATAGAAGTTTAATAACAAGACACGAAGTAATCAAAACAAACATTGAAGTGATGACATGGTAAACTAAGCAAGTTTTACACGTACATCCGACAGTAAAAGAGGTATAACAAACGTGCCAAATAATTTGAAATAAATTAATTCATTTAAAATTAACGCTTATATACTACAATAGTGAGTGTAAACGTATCATAACCAATCAAAATCAAAAATAACTTACCAACTCTTGATCGGGTGACAAGGCCACCGCCATCTTTACGAATATCTGACAAATGTATCTAGATTATTACAAACGTTAAAAATCCTATCTTTCTGATAGATATTCTCGATCCTTAGACAAGAAAAACTTAAAAATAAACAGTAATATTTTAACAATATATTTTATGACAGTTGCGAGATTGAGAGTTGGTCGAAAGTCGGAACTGAATTTCCACCGAACTTTTGAACTAAAATATTTTTTATTATTGATTGATTGATTGATTGATTTTTTATAGATTTGCGTTGAACACGATAGTCAAATTTCGGTGTGATAAAGTTTCTTATAAAATCAAGCAGTACCTGTAAAGGTTGATTTCCTTAGGTAAGGGGCTTGGGTGGCGTTAACGTTTAATACACCTTCAGCTACTGCTGTCTGAAGGCGGATGGATATTGTAAAGTATGCTCCTTACACGCCTCGCAATGTACGTCACGTCATATAATGGTTCAAAAATAGAAGTGGTCCCCGAATTCACCCTATTAGGCCTGTCAATTGACACACACATCAATTGGAAATCTTACAACGAAATTAAGATCTAAAATGTCTAAGTTCACATATGCCTTCCGCGAGGTTAAAAAGACCACCAACTTTCAAACAGCTATCACCACTTATTACGCATACTCTTATGTCTGGTTTAGTTACGCCATCATATTATAGGATAACAGCACAGATGCTCCAACACTCTTCACACTTCAAAAAAAAACTAATTAGAATTTTGGACACAACTAATATAGAGGACATCGATAGTTGTAAACCATACTTTGGAGAACACAACATTCTAACACTGCCATCAATTTATATTTTGAAAATATGTAAATTCGTACGAAACAATCAACATCTGTTTACAAAAAGAGAGGACAATCAAAAAAAACTACACACTACGCCATAGGACTAGACTAAACCTACCCTCATGCCTACTCCAAATTCATTCAAATAGCACTCAAGTAATTTCTATCAAAATTTACAATAAATTACCCAAAAAAATTAGAAATGAAACCATATTAAATATATATATATAAATAAATTAAAACAATTACTACTACAAAAATGCTATTACAGCATCAATGAATACCTGAGTGGAAAAAACAACTGTAGTTGAACGAAATAGCAATCAATACATAAAAAACTGATGTATAATTATTATTGTTAGTTTGTACTATCTCTCCCTCTCTCATCTATTGCTGTGCCCGACAGGGTCCATAATGATCTGATCTTATATTTAAGTTACCATCTAAGTAAACATTGTGGAATGCAATAAATATATTGAGTATTCATATAAAGCCTCAAGTAAATATAAAATTTAGCACGTGCTCGTGGATCGACCCAAGCATGCGTCAGTCAACACTGACGCATGCTTGGGTCGATCCAAATGTGTGCGAAGCACTTGCAAGTCAGTGAATACAAACTTTTCCAGCACGCGATGAGCGGTGTTCACTGCACATGCCTCGCAACTCGCATTTTCTATATCCGCCTTAAGACTAGTCTTCCTGTCCGAATATCAGTACGATGAGTATGACTATCATTATAACTAAGTATTAGGTATTCTGCGGCGTTATCTAATAACGTAAATATTCTTCTAAAACAGTAAAATATAAGAAGTGTATCAAGTCCAAAAAATTAAGTATAGATATCGAAAGGTAGATATTCCAATCTAATATATTATTATTGAGTACTCATACGACTCTATTTGAAACTGACAGCATCTGTCGTAATTGCCTAGATTTTAGGTTATATTATTAAGTCAGCTGAAACTTTACTATTATTCCATTTAATAACTAAAATTAACTTCAATTGATAAAATATGTCTACTCGATGGTAAATATATATAATACTTTGAATTATTATTTTGAATGGTACAAATCTTACAATTTGTAATTAATTGTTTAAGGTATCCCATATATCAAAGAGGTAATCCACAGCTGAGGGTGTTTTTACCTAATTTTTGGATGAAATTAGTGCGACCTCGAGGCACCCAACTACCTAATATTGTGCATTTTGAGTGTTCAATGGAAATGACTAAACACGACATTAAGAATTACCTTAATAAAATATATAATATCCCTGTGGTTGAAGTAAGAACAAAAATATTTTTAGGAAAGTTCAAAAGAGATATTGGCAAGGGTTATATAGTTAAAGACGATGATATAAAAAACGCTATTGTAACTCTGGTATGTATGAAGTTTATTTAATGTATTTTTTGAGTTTCATTCATATAGTTATTTAGAAACAGAAAAGTCTAGTCTAAAAAAGTATCACCAACTTTCATTGAAAGTGGATACACTCAGATCATAGAGATTCTTCATTCCTTATTTTTCACCAACATCACTAAGCTTAAATCTTTTCTTCAAATTTGAAAGTGACCATACAACAAAATTTACTAAATTATTTTATTAATTACAGATTTCTGAGATAATAAAAAAGGAAATACATTGAGCTGAATTGAGAACCTTTTCTTTTTTTTTTGCACTTGGTTAAAAATTATTCTAACTATGATATACTTTAATGTCTTTATACTACTATTTTATTTTTTTAGCCTAAGGATATGAAGTTCGAATACCCAGATATATTTGAAAAAGCCAAAGATGAAACTGAAGAGCAAGAGAAAGCTTTGACCGAAGCAAAGAAATCCTTCCAAAATTACATTGATCGTAACAAAAATAGATCAGATGTGCCTAGCTGGTTCTCAATATAAGGATTAACTAAAATGTTTGTGTAAAATAGTAAAACTTGATGTAATTTATTAGTTACAATAATTGAAAATACATAGACAATGATTATTAAATCATTGTTTTTGAATGTGCCCTTACAGATCTAGTTTAGATTTCTACAAATATTTTATGTCTGTAAAGCACTGTTCACTTATTGATTTAGAACAGTTATGGAATATAATATAGTTTTCTTATTACATATTGCCACTATTAATTGCATTAATTTTACCCCTAATCACAATGTAAATAGACAACATTGGAGTTCTTACTTCTTCTCTTGTGCATAACCTATTTAGCATTTCAGCAAATACTGGCATTATTAACACTTGCTTTCTGAACAAGAACTTGTAAACTGTATCTCTGAAGGACATTATACAAATAAATCAGCAGCAATCAAACTAAACTACTGTTTACACCTCTACCTGCCATTTGCTACCTGCAAATGAGGGCCTTAGCCAACACACAAAATTATGACTTAGAGCGTAATTGCAGAAAGATATAGAATAGTGGTCTAGTATCTATATTTGTTTACCTTACCTTTCTTTTCTATGAACTTTAACATAATCTTCAGGTTTAAAGGGGAAGCTGTTAATAAAACCCATATTAAACTAACCAAAGTTTTATATTTGAATTTAGTTTTATAGGGTAAAATAAGTGTGAAAACTGTAAACTTAAGTAATAAACTCTACAAGAAACAGATGATTATTGTCAAAAAATCAATGTTCTATGAAACACCTTAGTCCTAATTCCATAATTGCAACAAAAGCAATCAATGCTAGAAACAAAACAATTAAAACTAAATTACTAATTTCACCAACATAGCCAAACTATTATTAACACATAGCACATAGCATATTATTAACAGATATTAAAACAATAGCAACAATCATTTATATTATAATATATCTAGTAATCGCTTAAAGATAGTGAGTTGAACACATTTTCTTATGTTAAGAAACAGTTACAGTGCATAGCGAAGTAAATTTTACCCAAAATACTCATCCAAATATAGAGAAGAGTGGCATCTAGGACACTCAGCAATATCCAAAAGAAATGTTATCTGGGAACAAATAAATGTCATGAAATTGTAGCTTGAAAGAAAATATACAGGTACCTACATTTCAGTATTAAATTATCTAATTATTTTATTGTTGCACAATATGCTTTTTTTACCTGCTATTGTATTATTCATTATTGCAACGCTAATACCCTTATTAGCAGTACCCCCACACAATCTGTACTCATAAACTTCTATATTAACTATTTACACCACTTATGCCTGTCTCTCAGTACTTATCAGCAATCACACACAACAACTGAATTTTTAAAACAAATTTTTTGGTAGGTACAGACAAATATTTATTAAAGAAAGTAATTTACCCATTCACTGAACTAATACCAGTTATTAAGAAACCAAAGGGATTTATTTAATAAAATCCCCTATATACAGAAACAAACATTTCTATTAAGTTTAACTTCATATAACAGAATACAAAAGTGCAAGTCTAATTTAAGCAGAATTATATGACATTATTTGTTTTTTTTAATTTAAAATGGTTATTCTATAAAATTCCAAAGTGCAATAATAAGCCTAGTCTTACTGAAGGTGTGAAATGTGTTCAAATAGGCCCTATTTTAAATAAGATAATGAGACTTTTATAGAAAGGATATCTGGGAGAATATAATCATTGCTACTTCTCAGAAGTATATCAATTACAGACTCTTCATTGTGTGCTCCATATAACAACAAATAAATACAACGATGGATTGTGCGGTACAAACCATCATTAATCGTTCCCGAATAAATAGATATCAAGATTTATATTTCGCTATTACAAAGTTGTTTAAAAATTAAATGAGGAATTTCTGAATTTTATTAAACCCCTTAAATAGTGATCCAGTTTCACTTACATGAGGATGAACGTCACATTTCAGACGGATACGTCCATTACAATAATAACCACATGCTCGGCAAAAAACTATAGTCTTATCTCGGGTGCAGGAACATTTCTTCGTGTAGACATCTTTAACGTCTGGAACACCCCGTCCCAAACGATTTGGAATTTTGTATACTTGGCCCGTAGCAGAAGCCACAACAGGCGTGGATTTAGTATTCTCCATATTTTGGATAATAGTATATTATTAAAAATTATAAATCCTACACAATGTGTAACGGTATTCGTTTCTCTCTCGTAAGTAATATTTTCATTTAACTTCTAACTAAAGCTTTAAATCTTTTAAAATTTCTTTGGCGGGTATCTGTAAGCAGTCAGTTGGTCATTTGTCATTGTCACCCTGTTTTGTTTCTTAATATAGTAGGTACTTTGACTGCCTGGCTAGCCTTAAGACTATATTTGAGCTAAAATTATCAATAAATTTCACTTTACTAGTAAGCAACAAAAAACCATACGCTTATGAAATAGTACTTAGTAAACACCCCTAAATTAGTCTTCGTGTAGCCAAACAAAAAAATAAAAAAACTAACGTTGTTTTGTGTAAACTTAACTCCATTACTAGTATTTTCTTTAATTTGTTTTCGATTGATCGAATATGTGTGTAATATAAACTTTTACTATGCACCGCTATGGCATCACATATTCAGATGTAACATATATTTAATTATACAATTCGATGTTTTTTAAACATATAACAAATTTCATTGCACCACTAAAACGCATTTTGAAAAACATGTGAAATTAAGGAATATTACGACATCTATCAAAGGTGCGTGGCACCAAGGGTCAAAATATCACTAAAATCACTACACGTAACAATATAAATCCTTTTTTGTGGGAGCTCCAACTTGAAAAGTAATGAGGGTTTTCATGTTGTCACGGTCCGCCCTCAATCCCTCTCCTCCTCTTAAATCTAAGTAGATGTAAGACCTGTTTAAAACCAATCCGTCTAAAACCAAAAAAATCTTTAAAATCGAAATAAACCTTTTTTTTTCGATTTAAAACCGTTGTTGTTGCTGAATTTGTTTTTCTTAATTAAAACTACATTTTCTTGATTTTACCGAGGTAGCCATATGACGGAGTACCTATAAACTGCGTAAAGATTTTTTATATGTGTGATATACTGATATTGATATGTTTAGCGAGTTTAGTTCTAGTTGGTCCGTCCGACCAAGCGTAGGTATTACCTACCTAAGTTATAAAAACTATTGATAAGTTTAAAACTCTGTGTTGATAAATTAACATTTTTTGTCATTGTTTTCAAACGATATAAATAATCAATTTGATTCGGTTTAAAACCAAACTCACACTCTCGCAATCTCGTTGACGTCGTCACTCGCGAACTCCTTGGAGACATACCGATGTCTCTTTCATGCGAAAGTATAATAGACGGCATTCTGTTAATGATGTCTTCTAATCTAGTGTGTGTAATATAATATAATAAATAAGTATGGTAGAGGCTATAGATCTAACACAACCGATTTAAAACGTTTAAAATAAAATGTTGCCGTTTTAAACTCCTAATAAATCGTTTTAAACGGTTGAAAACTCGCCTACAAAAATAAACGAACTGTGTTTTACACTTTATAGAAAATGTGGCCTGTTTCGTTTTAATAACTTTATAGAAAATCAGTAGAAAGTACCTACCTACATTACCTACTACACGAAAACTTATAGTATGTAGGTATCTACATACTAAAAGTTTTCTTGTATGTAGTAGGTAAATTTTAAATCGGTTATTTTACATCTATAGTCTCTACCATGGGCGATATACAAGTAAAATATGATTAAAGTACACAAAGGAAACAACAATCTGCATCTAAAATAACATTCGTTATTGGATGTGGGACTCGAACTAACATATTTAAAATTGCCGCCGTGGTAGTTGCCACGTGCCGAGATGACCACGTGAATCGCTGTGCTGTCGGTGGCGATTACTAAAGAATAAAGATTGTAATAATACCATTACTTAATTACTCATTTAAACACACGCAAGCAATTTTCTTTAGCAATGGTAATTAACTAAATTACCTATTCACGGATTGACATCTGCACTGCATGTAAGAGAAGCGTTATTAATTTTTATCTTTGCAATCACAATCAACATTTTTAATTTTTATCTCTCACGTATATCACAGGAAGTTGTTGCATTGTTTGTCAAAGATATCGTTTTTACCTTTAGTATGGTACGAACGGACTATAAAATGTACATACAAACTAGTTGTCCATGTAGTAGTGGCCAGTAAAGATGAACAGCCTGTTTTATTTAACGGTCTTTGCTATTTGCTTTGCGGCAATCTGTGGATCTGGTTCTACAGTTGCCGCAGCACCTTTATTGGCAGCTTTTGAAAATAAAAATTTAAGCCATGAGTCCTCCAACCGAGTGAGTACCTTAAAACCATTGTTTTTCTATTTCGAACGATTTTGTTTTAAGAGTGGATTAAAAACCATCTATAAAAATATTCAGTTAGTTGGTGGTTACTCACCCTATAAAAATGTCACCAACGGCTGAGTTTCCCCTTTTTGAGATATTTAGTGGTATATTCTCCTACTAGCCCAAGTAAAGGTGAGTTTACTACTACAACATTTAGAGATGGGTGCAATACTATTATAATACAATACAATAAATTAAGTTCCATTTAATAAGCACTGCTGCTTTCGAATATTGGATACCGTCTTTCTCTAGACAGGGATGAGTTCATAGACTTTATTTGGTCTGATAATTGAAAAATGTAGTAATTGTCCTATTTGAATACTTAATTTTTAAAATAAACTTATCTTTCCTTCTGTAATTTAACTCACTGAATCTGTCAACACGAGTCGCAATATTTTTTCTAAGTAGATAGTTGCTTGACGTGAAAGCTGATATCTTTTGTACATATATGTTTTTTAAATAGGTAATGATGAACTTACTGATTACATGTAGGTATGCCTGTGTTTGTTTGAAATTCGGCAGCGTTTTAGCGCCGTAAATGTACCTAAGCTATCTATTTAAAAGAAAGTGATATGTCGAGATGCACTGGAGTACTGGCTTGACGAATTGCGACTGAAAGAACACTATTATGTAACCTCTTTGTTTCAGGTTGTGAGACAAGTACCACCCTTAGGAAAGGATATACCCCCTCCACCTGATTTTCCACCCCAAGTTCGTCCTAACAAGTTTGATGATAACTTTTCACGCATAAAGAGAGAAGCAAAAGGTGTCGGAGGTTCAATACCGACCAGAAAAGGATAAACCCTAAATGTATGACTTCAAAAAACCAGAAAATGAGTATGGAGACGTATACTTAACATTTTAACATTTGTAATAAATAAGGTGCAATGTTTTTTTTTATTCGTGCGGTTACTAATCCATTCGTTGTTGAATAATAAGTTTCATGTATTTTTTTGTAACTACTATTAAATTCAAATTTAAGACCTTTCTTCTTCAAAATTTAAATCTTTTTACTGCCCATTATACTTAAGGTTTATTGTTAACTGTTGCATGAAAAGGATTGCAAATCGCTCAGTGAAAGCCTCAGACATAAAATTTCCGGTTGTTCTCGTCTTGCCAAAGGCGAGTACTTGCATAGACATAACCAAGTGGCCAGGATAGTCCATCAGCAACTTGCTAACAGCAACCTTGTAACTATAACCTTGTAACTGTAGAGTTACCGTACTACAAATATGTGCCCGACCCAGTTCTTGAAAATGGTCGTGCAACGTTGTACTGGGATCGCTCTATTATCACTGACAGGACTATTATTGCTAATGAACCTATAGTGGTAACAGACCGACTAGAGCGCCGAGCAATGATCGTTGACATTACCATTCCACATGACGACAATCTCTTAAAAGCTGAAAAAGATAAACAAGTAAAGTATTTGGATTTGGTCCACGAGATTGTCGACATGTGGGATGTTGATTCGGCAATCGTTGTACCGATAGTCATATCGACCCATGGATTAGTTGCTAAGAGCCTCGACCAACATCTTCAGAAGCTCGCGTTAGGCAGTTGGATTAAGGGCCTGATGCAGAAAGCAGTTCTCCTCGATACGGCGCGTATTGTGAGGAAGTTTCTGTCTCTGGAGTCCTAACCACCGATATCTTGGTCCCAGTAATAGAGAATATACACGTGACTCCAAAATGGACAAAATATTTTTATTTGAAAAGTCTATCGTTAAAAAAAGATACCTATACAGTTATCTAATTTATCATAATTTAATAGTGAAATTTAATCATCAAAAGAGACTTTTTTTAAATTCCCTCGCAAAATTTCTAAAACCCAACGCTACTGTTGGAACAAAATGTGACGTGAAATTACACTGTCAACAAGTTGTTTGATTGGTTTCTGGTGAATTATTATTCTGCACTGTTTCGCGTTTGTTTCATATTACGTTAATAGTTTTCTGTGTTAAAGGATTAAATCCTTGTGAAAATAGACTTCACTATCAGATGATCTTCCTAAAATAGACGTGTTTATGATGATACTAAATTGTTTAATACCAAGAAAGTACCGGGAAAAGATCGATAACACCCAAAATGTTTGTTATTCATCCAAATTTATTTTATCACCTTCAATGTATGCTCCTTCGCAAACGATACAATTACGCCAACGAATAATCTAATCATCAAAACATTTTTGAAAATGGGTGCCACGAAGTGGTAATTTGAGTTTAGGAAAACGAAAGAAGTTGGCTGGAGCTATATCCGGTGAATATGGTGATTGCTCGATGGTATTTGTTGAGTGTTTGGTCAAAAATTCGTTCACAATAATGGCCTTGTGCGAAGGCGCATTATCGCGGTGCAAAATCGAAGAATTATCTTTCTACAAATCTGGCCTTTATGTTGAATTTGCTCTCTTAAATTCCGCATAACGCTCAAATAATATTCTTTATTTACCGTTTGACCTTCCGGCAAGAATTCCGAGTGCACAACACCGCGATAGTCAAAGAAAACAGTCAACATGACTGACTTTTGATCGACTTTGGCGAGATTTTTTCGGTTTCGGTTCAGTTGGAAGACTACACTCCGAAGCTTGTTGACTAGTTTGCATGTCAAACTCTTAAACCCACGTCTCGTTACCCGTAACAATGCGTTTCATGAACGTTGGGTCGTAATTGACTCGTTCTAGCATGTCCTCAGCGACTCTCATGCGATTGAGTTTATGGAGAAAATTCAGGTCTTTGGGGACTAGCCGAGCGGTAACATGTTTCATACCCAAATGATTAGTTAAAATGGTACGGATCGACTCGTGAAATACAGAAAGTTGGGCGGCTATCTCTCTCAAAGTTGAATGAGGATTTTCAGTCACTATTTCCTTCACTTTTGCGATGTTAACTTCAGTTGCAGACGTTGGTGGCCTACCAGAGCAAGGCAAATCTTCCATCACATCTCGACCGCTTTTGAAGGCTTTGTACCATTCATAATGAAACGCTCAGAAGGATGGGGTTCTTGATGTAAACACAAACTTTGAAATAGTATTTTATTTGACTTTTCAAAACACTCTCGCTGCACAGCTGTACCCGACGGGTTCACAATTCAAAAAAAAAAATGGCGGGTTCACAATTCAAAAAAATGGCGGGCCGAGACTGTGTTGCAACATTCGGAAAACAATCGATTCATGAGTCGACTTAAAATTATGATTATGAATAACTTGGGTTTTTAGGAATATTACTATTAGATTAAATTAGTGTTTAAAGTGAATAATATTATTAATTAGTGATGAGTATAAATATGGTAAGCGATAAAATTAATGACTGTTACAATAAGCACTTGTTTTTGATAAAGTCGATTCACCGGAAGCTTTCTGTAACATTTTCAGTGACTCCGAACACGAAATTCCATTGGCGATGCAAAATTTAAGACAAACTCTTTGTTCGATGTTTTTGTCCATTATGAAATTCGCGATACACACTAGATATGATATAACTAAAAACAGCACTGTATTTAATATAAATAACAGATGCAACTCAAACTCCGCGCCAAAATGGAAAACAGTTGTGCCAATCTAACAACAACAAAAATAAACCAAAACTTTGTATTTGGAACCATAAACAAAACATCCATTCCCGATACTTTTTTGACTGAAAGTAATTTTTTTCAATTTGAAACACAGAAATAAAATTAGAAAGATAAATCAAAATAGCTTACAATTTCCCTCTTACTCTAATAAGTTAGATAGGTACGAGTACGAGTATATTGTATTCATTCATAGACAAGCATAGGCAATACTGTTATGGATAAATACCCATGTATTAGATATTGCGAATATAATTATTTAAAGTACTAGCAGATTTTTTTTTGCTTATTATACACATACATACTCATATAGCTCTTAAGAATATGACATAGTCGTGTAATGTTTTGTGAAAGAATAAAACTAATAAATAAATAAATCATTTCTTTCGTAAACTAGGTTATGTTTTCGTCGAAGTTTCCGTCCGAAACCCAGATTGCAGACGTGAAGAAGGCCTTAGGGAACCTCACAGTTGGAAACGGGACAGGAACTACGTTAACTGCTGCTCCTTCGGTGCGAGGGTTCAAAGTGCCGCCACTTGATGGAAAATCTTTGTGGTCAGCCTACAAGATCCAGTTTGAGGCTGTTGTGACGGCGAATGGCTGAACTAAGGCCCAGGCTATGACCGCGCTCACCTTGGGTCTCCAGGATCAGACCTTAACCGTCCTCGAAGCCCTCGGTTAGCAACTGCTGGAAGCATTGGAGGCAAGATATGGTGACGCTCACCTGGAGCACGTGTTTCGTGCGTAACTGAAGGATGCCAACGCATCGGTGAAAACTTGCAACAATGGGCCCTGGAAGTTGAGAAACTGGTCCGTAAGGCATACCAGTCTGCACCTGCGCTCGTTGATAGGAATCTGGTGCAGGCCTTCACCTCGAAGTGAAACTCCATGAAACTCTCAAGGATGCCCTAGCCCATGCTTTCGAGGTAGAGGCCTTTAGACAAGACCATCGTTTTCATCGCGTCCGGAAGGTTGTGGCGTCACCCGTGCGGGACCGTTTAAAGAGGTATAGCCCTAGATGTTACGCCTGTGGCGAGAAGGGTCATCTTCGGTCTAGCTGCCCTAAGCGTAGCATAGGAAGTGAAGACGAGCTGCCTCAGGAGATTAGGGCAGTTAATGGCACTGTCCAGCACCAGCAGGTAAACGAGTAAACGCCAAAACTGCGGGGCGAGTGCTGGCTGGTGTTCAAAGAGCCTCGATGATTTCGATCTCGCAAACCCACGATGGTAACAGCCTGGTCATCAGAGGCGAAATCAACGGAACGCCATGTAAGCTGACGATTGATACGGGAGTTTCTCGCACAGTTGTGAGTTCCCAACTTGCAAATCGGTTTCTAAGGGCCATCACATTTAACCGTGAGCGAATAGATCTCGTAACAGCCACTGGTCAGCGCATTCTCGTCCGAGGCGAACAGAAGGTGGAGTTGAAGTTGGGCAACCAATTTTATCTGCATAACGTCATTCTGACTGATATAGTTGATGACTGCATCCTTGGCCTAGACTTCATGAGGAAGAATGGTTGTCAGATCAACATTGCAAGGTGTAATGAGATGTAGTCAAGAAGAACTGTTCATGGAGGGGGCATTATCAGGAAAAGTGTACAGCTTAAGGAAAATTACTCACCCCCCAGATCAGAAACAATCGTGCCAATTAGTCTTTCCCATAACTCTGGACAATTGCATCGGTGTGATAAGTAATAGGGCATCAATAAGTATTGAAAGGTTAGATAATGACCTTCCATGGAAAATCGCACGAACTCTAGTAAGGACCGTTAACACCTCTGCAGTACGTGTGTTAAATCTTAGTGACAGGCAACACGTGATTCATAAGGGAACACTGATTCGTGCTATATTAGGCTGATATATTAGGCAAAACGTGAATACTACCTAAAATTGGCCCAGAAAAATCACAGATGAACTTGAAATCTGCGAACAACTCAATACTTACTTTTCAATAATGTGCTCAGCTTTTGCAAACCAAATTCCGAATAAATACAAAATTAATAGATACGACACAGGAACTATTGGTGTAATGAGCGATGCATCTCAACTAAACCATTTAAAACCGACAACTGCGAATTAAATAATGAAATCTTATATATAAAATTCTCGTGTTACAATGTTCGTTCCCGTACTCCTCCGAAACGGCTTGATCGATTCTCATGAAATTTTGTGTGCACATCGGGTAGGTCTGAGAATCGGCCAACATCTATTTTTCATACCCCTAAATGGTAAGGGTGACCCATCCCTAATTTTTTTTTGTTTTGCAATGCAACGTTTGCCGGGTCAGCTAGTAATAGATAAATTAGATCCCAACACTGGCTCTGGTATCGATGGTACAAGCACTTAAACGATTAAATGTTTCAAAAACTTAATTTTAGAAGAACTTATGTTGTGCATTAATGAATGCTGTGAAGCTCGTACTTTACCTAGCAGCCTATAGGCAGCTAAAGTTATTCCTATATATAAATCTGGCAACAGGTTTGACCCTTGTAATCGGCCAGTTTCGGTAGTTCCAGTTATTTCTAAAATCTTTGAAAAAGTGATCTACATACGCCTGGAGACCTTCTTAAAATCAAAAGACTCTTTTCATAGTAGAAAATATGGTTTTCGTCCACTTACTAAACTCAAATACTCTTTCGGCTATTGACTTAACCACCAAAATTAAGCAGCAGCAATGAATTGAGTTATTTGCCGCCTTGGCAATTTACCCGGCGTCGAAGCGTCGGGTCTTCATTGTAGTCATCAGAGAAGATCTCTCGCTGTCAGCCAGAGGGCTCGGGAGGAAGGTTTTTATTCGGACCTAATTCGCCGCCGGCGAACCAGGTGCCGGAGGCGCGTATTCCAAGGCCTCCTGCCGCCCTGAGTGATGATTAATAAAAAACTTAGTCAAAGTACTAATTTCAAAATCGCTATTGGTATATTTTAAAAATCCACATTCACAAACGAATAAGTAATTTTTCGAATACAGATGTTAAAGAATGTGGTAAAATATTTTATTTTTGTTAAATTTTCGAGACTTCTCTTCTCTGTGGTATAAGCTTTTTTTTTGTCTAAGACAAACAAAAACTTGTGCCAAATTTGCCGCCCTAGGCTCCAGCCTACTCAGCCTGCTGGTAAATCCACTGCCTAAACCTAAGCCCAAATACATAGTTTCAGAAATGTCAGTGAAGCGAATTTGAGGGAGAATGTAAAAAATATAGATTGGTCTCCTATTTACAATTGTGGCGATGTTGACACTAAAATTAAAAGATTCAACAAAATACTCATAGATCTTTACGATAAGCATGCGCCACAGAAGCGAGTAAGATTAAGAATCTGCCTGCACCCTGGCTTTCTGAAGGGATTAAATAACTAAAGACATCCTATCTATCTCCACAAAAGTTGTGAGTGATGATGGTATTCAACAACAAATGTTGTGGCCTATTTTAAATAACATCCTACCAGCTTTAACCCATATCATAAATTTCTCTCTTCTAGCGTGTTTCCATCGCCCTCGAAGAGAGCCCAGATGATCCCCACCCTAAAACTGCTAATCTGTCCTTAGTATCCCATTTTCGTCCTATATCCATACTCCTCTAATAGCCTGCTGAGTCCATATCAATCTGGTTTTCGTTAATAATTATTACAGAGTTATGTGGAGATGTTAAACGACTTCTAGGCGCCTGAACTGCAAAACTTGCCTGGCCATAACTAAAGAACGTGGTTCCAGCAGGACGGAGCAACGTCACACACGTCCAATACGTCTCTGCCACGAGTTCGTGAAAATTTCTCACGAAAATTGATCTCCAGGAGAGGTGACATAAATTGGCCTCCACGCAGTCCTGATTTAACCCCTATGGACTTATCTTAAATAAACGAAAAACCACGCGAATAAACCGACTTCCCTGGCGCATTTGAAAGAAAATATCCGTCACGAAATGGCAGCCATCACTGAGTCCACCTGCCGAGCCGTCATAAGTAATTTTACTGTTTAATTAAATGAGTGCCGCGAACGCGAGGGTTTACATTTGGAGGATATTATTTTTAAAAAATAAATGCCCAAATTGATACACTATCGATACACTGCTTACTTTTTTTTAATCGATCTACTAAATATAAACTTACTTTTGAGACACCTTGTAGTAACATCTATTGATTGGTGTACGAAGATGAATGCAAATGTTTATAGGCTTCGAATTACTTCATTAAACGTAAAGTATGTGTAATTTTAATCACTCAAGATGCGGGCGCGAGTTTCCCAAATGTCCTATAATGGACGAAAGTTTTACGTTCTGGATATTATGGCGCGGCTTAATTCTGGCAGCCTGTTATTGCGACGGTAAGACGCGTAACTCCATTACGCGATTGGCTCAATAGGAAACACGGGACCCTCTGATATTGCATGACACAAAATATCCTTAATTACTTATTTAATATTAATGTGTACAATAAATAATAAATGATGAAATGAGCGCCTTCACCCTAACGCGACAAGTATATGAGTATGGTCCCTCATAAGCCTTAAGCATCACCAAAACCCAAGTAGAACCAAATAAGTGCTATACCAAAGGTTTGTCAGTATAATTAAACTCACGTATAATGTACTAAGTTAAAAAGTAATGAGCTGGGTTCATTATTATATAAGTATGTTTATCAACAGTCTGGTTACCTTAGTACAGGCTCTGCCTAGTTTGGGATCAGACGGCCGTGTGTGAGATGTGTGAAGTTATTATTTTTGCTATTGCCTAATCGGTTCTGCACATTGTACCAAGATGCTAAGGGACCAGTCGCGTTAGCGTCAGGCGCAATACAATTGCTCCTCATAGTTTTAATTTTAACTCAACTGATATGGAAGCCACTGAACAGATAACTATAAAAGTAAATAACTATTGAGGTAATTTTGCTTTTTTCTACAGCAAATATGTGGTAAAGAAAACAACATACATTTAGTCTACATTTTTTTTGTGATAGTATCTGTCCACATACATAATAATATATATAGTTATAACAGTCAAGATAAACTTGTTATTTTAGCTGAAAATAATCAAAATAAGGTAATAGTTAGGCGTCATGTATTATATACCACCTCTAAATATAATCTCTGTTTACATTCTACTATCAGGAGGTTTATAGTAATTATTAAATTAACTAAATAAAACATAGTCAATTCCTTCAGTGAGATTCAATGATTCAAGATTTTTTTCAAATTCATCATTAGTTAAGTTTAGTTTAACACATATCAAAAATGGTGGTTTGGCCTCTGTAAAATGTAGTACTGGTAATCTTTTCATTATCGTTCTCTTAAAGGGACAATATAGTTCTATCGTATGCCCTATTTTATTTTGATCTATATCACAGAATGCATCAACCTTATTTAAACTATTAAAACTCAATGAACGGACTAATCTTCTTCCCCAACGTCCTGCATTCCATACAGTAAATCGGTTCCACAACGGCAGTACACATTTTTCTAAACGATCCAGCTGTATCCTCCATATAATTTCTCGTTTTACAGAAAATGTTGTTGCCCCCTCATGGTATGTATATATTAATAATTCCTTATCCACCCTGTACAAATCACCACCAGCATCTATATGATGATAAAAAAATATTAAATCTTCTGGTGTTCCAGGTCCCGTTTCATCAAAGCCTCCAACATTGTTATAAACAGATCTGTGGCAAAACCAAGAAGGCATGAGTAAAGTGGGTCCATTTGAAGTGTATATCTGTAATTTCAACTGGTCTTTAGATAAGTTATTCGCCCAGCGAACTAGGCGAGGGGTTGAATTAATGGGAACTCTCCTTATTTTACTACCAATAATTGCATTGAGATTCAATTTAGCAGCTTCCCATTGTAAACGCAATCGATCTGGATACATAACATCGTCAATGTCTTGAAAGCAAAGAAATTTTCCTGTGCTTATCTTAACAGCTTGATTTTTAGCAAAGCCAACTCCTTTTGAAATAGACCCGCTTGATGATACGAAGCCCACACCATGTGTTGTAAAATATACTTTCCATTTTTGTAGCAAATTTTCCGTTCGATCTTTACTACCATCATTGTACAGAGCCAATTCTAATTTCACATCTGTACCAAGAAGTGTTTGTGTTGATATAGATTTCATACAATTATCAATCCATTTTTCACCATTATAAATCGGTATAATGATTGAGATTTCAGCCATTCGTTCGTTGCTTTTGTCATTTATACTTATATAATCATGAGAATAAATGAGATATTTTTATACATATTTTAAATTTGTAGATTTAATATAATACTAAGTACACATATTCCACATGCGTTTTGATTGATACACTGATACAGTTTTGTTTATTTTTATTGTGAAATAAATATTTACTACATTACCTAAAGAAGAAACAGGAAATAATACCTAATACACTTTACCAAATACACATTAGGTTCATATTTCTTAGTACAATAGACGATTCCATTCTCTTTTTTTCGCAATATTCCATGTACAACTATTAAAAATTAAATGATAGTAGTGATGCGCCGGATTTTTAAATACTTATTTAAGTGAATACGGATTTTGATTATTATAGTCTAGAACTCTAGAACTACGAATACATTTCTCAATTTATTTTTTAGTAAAGGCCGATACGATATCTTGACTATTAAATAATATATTACAATTTGCGCGGATCAATATTTTTTAAATAATTATGAACACGAATTTGACGTGGCCGCTGTTCTCTAAAATTAATTTGGTAACGTAAGAATCTTAATATTGACACTTTATAAATAAAGTGAAGCTATTCTAAGACCACTCCTCAAATCCGCAAAGTACCTTTTTTTGTATCGTTAGTGGCAAATTATCTCAAGTCAAATCATTTTTCACTTTGTTATGTTTTTTCTTTTTAAACTAGAATGAAATAAAAACTGAAAAAAGACAAACTAAATAAAATTTACTACCTTTTCACTTATTGGTATTGTTAATTGATTTAAATTTGATAATCTAAATCAACTAACAATACCAATTACTATTGTCTCATCGTTTAGTTGTAAACGTTTATTGATCAATAACATATTTCTTTGGATAAATAGTTTTCACACAATTTCCACATTTTATAATTTGATTACAGAGCACTAGAAAAAACCAAGATCATTCAAATAATTTTATTTCATTTACTTTCCAAAGTCGTGATAAATAATGAAACTCACTGATAAAAATAAGATGTCACTTCTACTGATTTTGCTTTAGAACCTTTTTACGTCACTTTTACACATCTCTTGTCTTATTACGTCTTTGTTCTTATTACTTTGTTATGATTTTCTATCATTAATCTAATGCAGTGTGACTTGCTCCAATTTTCATATACTATACCTACCTACTTTTAGTTAAAAAAAAATATTTTGGGATTCTGTTAATTTCAAATGTTCTCTGGAACATGGATCTGGATCTCTAAGTTAGGAAATACCTAACAACCATTAGTAATATAAGTAATCCTCATTAGTAGGACAGAATTGATAATTTTACTATAATTTCTAATATCATCATGGAGATTTTATTATTGAAAGTATCTGGTATAAAGAACAAAGTACTATTATTCATGAGGCTCCTCTCTAGTCTCTCTCACTCTTGTCAAATCTGTCACTATTAGGCTTATCAGATTCACAACAGAATCGATCAATCGAGTAGGAGTTTTGTGTAAAAGTTTACAGTAGCTAAACCTGGAAAAAAAATGGGAATAAAAGAAGCTAATATATATTTAGATAACCAGTTTAACGCTTATTATGCTGGCCAAACAGTTAATGGAAGAATAGAATATGTTTTCGACAGTCCTAAAAAAGTTCGAGGTATGTAACACATACCAGTATTATTTTGTATGTTTCATGAGTCATTATTATGAGCATAAAGATTTGATTAATATAGTGTCTTGATGATTATCTTAAATAATTAGCGTTTATTGTTAGGCATTCACGTTAAAATCAAGGGAGAAGCGCATACAGAATGGGCGGAAAGTACACAAAAAGAAGATTCACAGGGCAAAACTGAATCTACAGACACATTACATACAGGACATGAAGAGTACTTCCAGGTGTCGTACTACCTATTGGGAAGCAATACAGGTGGGTGATTAATTTACTAATGTGTATGAATGTTGTAAATCTGAACAGCAGCTGTTATATTTGTACTGTCAATATAATGATGTCATGAATAACAGTATCACTTCCTCTGTGTTTATGATTGCAGTGTTATTACAGGTCACTTTAAATTAAATGTTAATTACTAATTTTGTAAAGTCTGTTCTTTAATTAAGAGAAATCATGTTTTAACATACTGACACAGTCTTAAGATCTACTGTTATCCCACATTCTAAATACATTTATAAGTCTAGGTGTTTGCCACATCACCTCTGATAGATCTGGATTCATTCAAATTGGTGTTAAAATACACATCTAATAGGATTGTGTTAACCATATTAGAATGTTTTAGTTTAAATTACATACCTTTTTAGTATTCAGTTTAAAACAACATTATTTATTTGGTTTGTGTAAATAGTCCAACTTGTTAATCACTTTCTGTAAAAAAACATCAGTCTAGTGCCAGCTCATATTTTCTAATCCTACATTTGCTTCTTATGTTGGTAATTAACTAGAAATGTTAAATGTCTTATTAAGTGACTAATTATTTATTTGCTAATTTCTACTTAATTTAAATGATAAATAACATAAAAAACTAAAAGAATCACCTTCTATAAACCAGTAACCAACATCTATCCAGTAGAAACATTCTCATGGCCTTCCTTACAACAAAATTCTTAAATTGTTTGAGAGAATAATTTGTCATTCATATGAAAATTGTTATGTTGATGTGAATAAAGCTACAATAACAGGGAGCTATAATAGGTGTATACCAAAAAAACATTTATTTTAAGTAATAATTCTTCAGCTACAGGTTTTGTATAGCAAAAAAAGCAAGTCAAATTTCCTTTTTCAAAAGTATAAGGTTTTTTAAATGTTTAACACTGATATGTTCATTATAAAATGTTGCTGGTTAACAAAGTAGGTAAATGTAATTTTGGAATATACCTACTAGGTAGTAGAAGAAATGAATGGTGAGATGTCTTTTAATATTTTAATAGTAATTAATGGATGTAATCACAGGCAATGAGATCGAGATCCCTGCTGGTAAACATGTTTACAACTTCACCTGTGCCCTGCCTCCAGTACTGCCATCATCCTTCGAAGGCCAGCATGGCCATATTAGGTACACTGTGAAAGTAGTCATTGACAGGCCATGGAAGTTTGATCAGGAGACCAAGATGGCCTTCACTGTTATTAATGCATTTGATCTGAATCTCAATCCTTCATATAAGGTAAGAACCAAGTTTCTATTAAACTTATAACTATATTTCATCTGACTAAAAAATTAATCTATTAATATAAAAAAAAAAATAAGTTGGTTTTGTACGCTTCAAAAACTTAAAAAGTTTTACACTGATTAACCTCATTTTGACATGATATAGAGCCCACATATGTACACATTACATTATTTAACATTATTTTTAACTGTTTTTCTTGTCAGTTTTGGTCCTTATTTCTTATTTCCTTGTCTCTTATGAGTTATTACATAGGGGACAATGTAAATATTCTGAGACATTATTATTTTGGTCGTAACTACTGATTTGTAACTATAGTACACATTCTAGAGTATGAATAAAGAAAATACTGAGTGGAAATCAAATCAGTAACCTGCTACTTTGCAGTCTAATCATTATTTAAAGATGCTTTATATGGGTAATCAAATTAGTACCTAAACCTTGTAAATACAGTTTTTAATTAATTCAGGAACCAATACACATTCAAATGGAGAAAACATTCTGTTGCTTTTGCTGCGCATCTCCACCATTGTCGATTGATGTTCGAGCTCCCGTGTCTGGATATTGCCCTGGACAAGTAATACCCATTAAAGTTGATGTGGAAAATAAGAGCAATGTTCAAGTGCATCTTGTGAAAATATTTATAAGAAAGGTAAGATAAGATAATATTAGTCTTATTTTGTTATGACTAACTCATTAATGTTTCTGTTTGTTAATGTGATGATTAATTTAATATTTATTTAAAGCAGAATTTTAAATACTTTATTTTTATCGTGTCTTGATATTTCAACACAAGATGAAACTTTTGTTTTATCCATCTCGTCGTCATCATCACTTTAAGACAATATAATAATAAAGCCTTTATTTCCGAAATAATTTCATGTTACATATTTTCGTGTCTTAGTAAAAATATTTGAAATAAAAGTATTTAAAAAGAGTTTATAAAAGAAAGTAAAACTTATAAACTAAAACTACACTTTCATTATAAGATGTCTCTTGGTTTGGTTTGCCTTACGGCAAAGGCCGCCTCCAAGTATCTCCATTGCATTCTGTCTGCCGCTACTCTCATCCAAAGTGGTCCTAAGGTCATTTTTAGGTCATCCTCCCATCTTATTGCTTTACGACCTCGGCTCCTAGTGCCATCCCTTGGGTACCAGACTGTCACCTGTTTGCTCCACTTTTCCTTCTTGCAGCGGAGCATATGTCCAGTCCATCTCCATTTGAGTTGACCAATACGTGATAGTATGTCAGTTAGTTTTGTTTGGCGTCTTTGTTTGTAACTTTGTCTATTAGTTTCAAACCTAGCATACTTCTTTCCATGCTTCTCTGACATCTTGCTAATTTGTCCCTATGACGTTTTGTCAAAGCCCAGGTTTCACAGCCGTATGTAATGCATGGTAGGATACAGGTGTCAAAAGTCTTCTTCTTGATCTTCATGCCCAGTTCTTTGCTTTTCATGATTTCTTTCAATGCCCAATACTTTTTCCACCCAGTCGCAATTATTTTGTCTATTTCTTTGGACATTTGGTCTGTTATCGATATTATCTGGCCTAGATACACGTATTCCTCTACATATTCAAGTTTCTGTCCGTTTATGGTTATGTCTATAGGTATTGAGTTGGTCATCATTTTAGTTTTGCTTGTGTTAGTTTCTAGTCCTACTTCTTTGCTTCTGTCTACTAGTGTTTGTATCATGAATTGCAGTGTCAGTGGGTCCTCTTCCAATATAACCAGGTCGTCTGCAAATCTTAGATGATTTAATCGTGCTCCGTTTATGTTTAGCCCCAGATGTCCCCATTCCATTTTTCTGAACATTTGTTCAAGCACTGCTAAAAAGAGCTTTGGTGAGAGTGGGTCACCTTGTCTGACGCCCCTATTAATTTGAAAAACATCCCCTGTAGATTCTAGCCTGATTCTAGCTTTGCTTTCACTGTAAATATTTCTGATGATATTAATGTAAGCGTTTTGAATCCCCTGCTCTTTAAGACTTTGCCATACAGATTCATGTTTAAGGCTATCGAAAGCCTTGGAATAATCTATAAAGGCCAGGTAAATGGTTTTGTTATATTCACTGTACTTTTGTATGAGTGGTTTGATTGCATGTATATGATCAATTGTATTGAAGTCTTTTCTGAACCCTGCCTGTTCCACAGGTTGATTTTCGTCAAGTGTGACTGATATTCTGTCCAGAATCACTTTAGCGAAAACTTTATATACATTTGAAATGAGAGAAATGGGTCTATAGTTTCCTATGTCGTCTTTTGGACCTTTCTTGTGTAGAAGTATTATATGAGATTCTGCCCATTGGGTTGGAATGCTGCCGGTATATAGACTCTCGTTGAAGAGCTTTGTTACTATTGGGCTTAGGTCTTTAATTGTCCCTCTCATGAGTTCGTTTGTGATTTTATCTTAACCGGAGGCTTTTTCCATTTTTTGACTTTTTATAGATTTTTCCACTTCCGATACTAATATTTCAGGTATAACTTCTGCGTCCTCCATCATACAGTTTTGTGTACTATTAGATTCTCTATCCGGCAATTGTATTTTTGGCTGATTTGGACTGTGTTCTTTGTACAGTAAGCGGTAGTAGTTTGTTGCTATATTTTGGATTTTCCTGCGAGAAGTGGATGACATATTTTTATCTGTTAACTTTGGTATCCATTCTTTTCCCTGTTCTCGGAGTTCCTTGAGCGCTTTCCTCGTGCCCCCCGTTCTGCTAATGTTATTCTCTAGGGTTTGGATTCTTCTATATTTCCTGTCCTTCCTCATGCTTTCGCGAATCTGTTTACTAAGGTTGTTGATTTCTTTTTGGTTTTCTTTCTTATCCTTTTTCATTTTTAGATTTCTTCTGTCTTCAATTAGTTTTAAAGTTTTTTCGCTATGATGGGACTTAAGACTTTTGTTTATTTGTATTCTTGCCTGTTCCCTGAGTTTGTTTTCTATTATTTTATATTTTTTGTTTAGGTCTATGTCTGAGGTAACTACTTCCATTAGGTCTTCTGTGGTATCGTTTGGGTTACTCCTTTCTCTAATTGCTTGTAAGAAGTTCATTTGAATTGCTTTTGGTCTTGGTTTTTTTGTTGCATTTTCATTTAGACAGCTGCGTACCATACGATGATTAGTATTGAAGTTTAGGTTTTGTACTATTCCCGTATCACTAAAACACCTAACTTTATTGGTTATTATTAGTGATGTGCCGGATATCCGTATCCGTATCCGTATCCGCGGATATCCAAGGGAGAAGAGAGATCCGTAACCGTATCCGTATCCGTGACTTTTTTAGCGGATCTTTCAATACACATTACATAGATGAAATTCTATATAGGTGATTTTGTATTCACTGTAAAATTCTTAGGTATGTATTTGTAACACTATAAACAGCAACTTCAACGGCCAACGTCAAAATGAAAAAAAATTGGTCCTCCATTCAAATGACCAATCAAATGTTGTTAGTTTGTATGGAGAAACAATTTTTTTCTTTCGTTTTCGGTGTTAGTCCAGAGAAAAGTTGTTGTTTATAATGTTACTAATATGCACTTCAGAGGTTTTCAGTAAATTTAAAATAACCCTGAATAATGGTTATTAGGTAGCTATGAAAAACTTTTGAATTCTGTTCAGATTACTTTTTATTTCATAAAACAAATATTTGGCACCTTTGTATTGCAATCATTTATCGTACTACGCTAAATCAACTAGGCAGATCGTAGGTACTGAAAGAGCTATCTTTATAATGAGATCAATCAAACATCTTTGTATTAGCTTATTAAAATAATGAAATATTTAAATATCAACAACAAAGCGTCAAGTAGCGACAACTATCAAGGTCACGGGCTCCGATTGAGTAAGAAACTTAAGATCCGCGGATCTTGACACCAAATATCCGTATTCGGATCCGTATCCGCGGATATACTTTGTTAACGATCCGGCACATCACTAGTTATTATGTAATCAATTTCGTTTCTGGTCTTTCCATCTGGAGATATCCAAGTCCATTTGTTTTTGGGCTTTTTGCGGAACATGGAATTTAGAAGTGTTAAGTTTTTCTCAAGCAGGAATTCTACCAACATCTCTCCGTTTTTGCTTCTTTTCCCACTTCCGTATTTCCCTATTATATGTTCTTCCCCAGCTAGTTTAGCACCGACTTGAGCATTGAAGTCACCCATGACTACTATGTTGTTTGCCGAATATTTACTTAGTTTATAGTAGAAATTGTCAATGTCCTTTTTTGATGCTTTTTCTGTCGGCGAGTAGACTTGGATTACTGTCCATTTTTTCGTAGGATTTTGTAAATTTATATGAATCGCGGCTATTCTATCTGATATCCCTTCAAATCCAATGATCTGGCTTTTGAGGTTTAGCTTTACCAAAAATCCTACTCTACTTTTTTTTTTTTTTTTTTTTTTTTTAACGTGTGGAAATCCCCTCGGACCGTCACCCCTCCGGGGTTTGCGGCGGGGTGGTGTGTCGGACTCGGACCGACTAAAACCACACGGTGTGCCACTCTGCGCCTGTAACAGGAGGGATCCGGGAACAGCTGTTGTTAAGACATCCGGACCCCTCCTAGCGCCAGCCCGCTCCTGGTGCGGGCTCCGTCTCAATATAGATGTTCCTCTCTTTAGGCGACGTCCGGCACACGCGGACGCCGCCCCCTCGCGGCTGGCCAACTAATGCGGGTGGAGGGGAAACCCACCCCGTCCACCCGCGGCCACACTCAGGGCGGCATGAGGCTGTGGTAGGCGGGCCTCCGCCGCCCGGTTCGCCGGCGGCGGATCGGGTCCGAGTGGAGGTCGTCCTCCCGGGCCCTTTCCGCCGCCTCCTTCCGCGAGATTACTACCTCGCAGAAGGTTGCGACCGCGGTAAAACAACTGTCGCTACCGGCCATGGAGCGTACTACGGCCGGTAGCGAGAGATCCACTCCGATGACTGCAGTGAGGGCCCGGCGCTGCGCCGCCCATGCGGGGCAGACCGCCAGCGTGTGCTGGGCCGAGTCCTCACTGCAGTCGCAGTGGTGGCAGGCGGGACTCAGTTCCCTCCTAGCGACCGTGTGCAGGTACTTTCCGAAGCAACCGTGCCCGGAAAGCACCTGCGTCAGTCGGAAGGAAAGGGTCCCGTGCTGCCGCCCTGCCCACTCGGCGATGACCGGCTGGAGAGCCTCCACGGCGGCGAAGCCAGCGCGTGGAGTCTCCAGCCGGAACGACCAACGAGCCATCGTGGCTCGGCGAGCGGCTTCGCGCCACTCGCGCACATCCTCGGGCGGAGGGCGAAATCCGCTCTCCGCCCGGTAGTCAGCCACTCGCCGATAAACTTCGGCGAGCACTTCCGCCTCCAAATCCCACGGGGGAGTTCCGGCCAACGCGCACGCCACCTCCGTCGAAACGGTGCGGTAACCGCGTATGGCTCTGACCGCCATTACCCTCTGAGGGCGCCAGAGGCGTACCCTATTCTGGGCGGTCAGAGCCGCCGCCCACACCGGTGCACCGTACAGTGCCATTGACCGGACAACCCCCGTGTACAGCCGTCTTGTCGCGACGCTGGGTCCACCCATATTGGGCAAAAGTCGCCCTAGGGCAGACGCAGCGCCGACCAGCTTTGGAGCAAGCTGTCGGAAGTGCTCGTCGAACAGCCACCTCCCGTCGAGGATCAGGCCCAGAT